CTGTGTTGTATGTGAACCTAATGACAACCCCAGGAGGTAGGCAATGCAGGGATGGGATGGCTGTCAGGTCCAGGTGAGGAGACGGAGTCCTGGCTCCTGACGGGGCCTTGCAGGGAGCTGTCATGAACTGGCCACCAGGCAGAGCCATCCTCACTTTCTTTGGATGATAATGTCCCTCACCAGACCCCTTGCTGCACATAGTGACACAGCTGCAGGAGCTCATAGATCCCTGACTTTCGGCATCTGAGCAAGCAATGATTCAATGATGCCACTGCTCAAGTGCAGGGCATTGTTTTGTAGGTGGCTGTTTTATTTATTTGCTTGTGTTCTGCCAGCCAAGGGGAAGGATGGTTTTCAGTAACTCAGAAAAGCATGTCTGAGGGCTGAGCAGCCTGAGTTTCCCCAGGCCACTGAGGTGTGTGTTTGGACCAGGGGTGATGGAAAACTGGGGAACGTGGGCTGGCTTGCTCCCGGCCTCAGGGTCCTCCTGTGCAGAGCAGACAATCATTCAGACGTGTCTATTATACTTAGAAATGGGCCATGATGGGCAAGGCACAATTGCTATGGCAGAGGTCCTCACAGCACAGTGTAGGGCCAAGAAAGTCAGGGATGAGGCCTCCCCAGAAACCAGAGGCAGGAACGTGCAAGGTCACGAACGTCCCCAGCATGGCCTCCCTCCGCTGCCCTCGGAACACCTGGCGGGTCACTGCGGTTGCATCCCGCAGGAAGAAACTATCGTCTTCCCTCTCTGTCTGGATTTTTTTCTTCTTTTCTGTCCATCCCTTTCACTGTTCACCACCTGTCTGTCTCCAGTCTCATTTCCTCATTTTAGAAAAGAGCCATAAAGATCAGACTAGACCTTGAAAGCTCCCTCCTAACTTTGACTTCTGTAGTTTTTGTTTTGAGGGGTAAGAAGAAGTTGTGCTTGGTCTGGGGCTGTTGGACTATAGCCTGCTAGCAAGACCAGGGGGGAACAGAGGCATGGAGCAGATGTCTGCACTGCATGTGGCCTGCCCAGGGTCTCTCTAGCCCCACCCTGACTGCTCCCCAACCCCATGACAGGAAGGCGGGGAGAGGTCAGATGGAGGACTGAGATGCTCAACACCTTGTCCTCCCTGAGATGAACAATGGCTGTCTCTCCCACCCCTGGGAGGGCACTGAGGGCCTCCCTGCCCTCCCTCCTACCCCGAAGCCCTGAAAAGCTCCGAGTTGTCCACTTGGACGCAGCTCCCTGGCAAAAGCCTGCCTGCCGGTTTTCCAGACGCCTTTTCCTTTGGCTGGATGGAAGCCTTTAAAAAAGCGACACCTTGTATTTTATGATTTTATGTCACTCCTTTCTCTGAAAAGCCCAGAGACATTTACAGGCATGAGCTCTGTAGGTTTTATGGAAGCCCATCAAAAAGCAAGGCTTGTTTCCTTTATCTTTATAGAGTGGAAAATAAAAGTATGGAAGACGGGATAACTCTTCTAAGGCCACACAGTTCTTCCGAGAAAAAGGGGGGGAAATCCAGTGTATCCTTTGGGCCCGGGAGAGGTCTATGCCAACCCTGAGCTGCCCAGCGGTGAGCCCTCGGGGCACCTCACCAGCCATTGTCAAGGTCTTCGCCACTCTCTAGGTCAGAGTCCAGCTGTGACCCTCTGCTTACACTGGGATCTGGAGGCCTGGAATAAAATAGGGAGACATTCAGCTGAAACACTGTGGGGGAAACGGGCCCAAAACCTTTCCTGTTGGTTTCCTGTCTCCTGAAATTGTTATGAGTCAGGAGAAACAGTTGGTCAGTGTGTCCCAGAATATCCAGGGAATATTCTCCTTAAGAAATGCTAGTGAGTGTTCTGGTCAAAAATGGTTTAGGGCATAAAATGTTTGGGAAAGGCTGAGATAACGTTAAATACATTTCTGCTTAAGGTTTTTCAGATCCTGTAGTTCATCATTGGGAGCCTCTTACCTGGCGTTAGAATGTATTATGTTTCCCCAAATTATTTGCCCAAGGAACCCTTTTATGGTAGAGCATCTTGCGGGGCTTGGGTTCCATGGATCACACTTTTGGAAATGCTGGTCTAGGTCTGACGAGATCAGGGCTTGTCCCTGTTTGCAATGCTCTAAAAGAAATAGGGAGCCTGATCTTGGGAGGAGTGAGCACCACTGTGGCTTGTTCAGTTCACTCACAAACCTTCCGTTTCCATTTCCCCTTTCCCCAACCGATGGTTTGTATAGGTCTTTGTCATCGTATTGTCATCCATGTATTAATGTTTCCAGATCTCTCTTCTACACTTGGAGTCCTCATCCGTGTGTCTGCTCAATAGTAAGTGTGTAGATGAGGAGACCACACCCTCTCATACCTGAGCAGAGCCGCCTGGAGCCCATGGCCATGGGTGCTGGCCCAGTGCTTTCTGAGGTGAGGATGCTGGTGGACAAGCTAAGCTACCAAGATGGCGCCTGGAGGGCTTGTAGGAGGGACAGAGAGACCACGAGTGTATGATGGAAAGGGTCTAGGAATCTGTGGTATTTTTTCCATAGTCCTGCAGCCTACTTGGATGACTGTTGACAGGTCACCTAGTTTCTCTGGAGCTGAGTTTTTCATGTCAAAAAGAAGAGATTTCTACCAGATGATTCATAGCTAAGGACTCTTCTAACTCTCTAGTTCCCTGATTCAGTACCTCTGCCAGTTGCCCTGAAGCTCCCCATTAACTGTTCTCCTTTGTTTTGTTTTTTTTTTTGCTTTCAGCTGTTAACCATTGATGATAACTTCTGTGGCCTGGATATGAACGCCCCCCTGGGCGTGTCTGAGATGGTACGTGGCATCCCCGTCTTCACAGAGGACAGGGACCGCATGACCTCTGTCATCGCATATGTCTACAAGAATCACTCCCTAGCCTTCGTGGGCACCAAAAGTGGCAAACTGAAGAAGGTAGGAATGAGGTGCAGTTCCTCTGGTTATTGTGAAGACTGTCCCCCTTGGGATGGGTATGACCTCATGTTCCTTTACTACCTTGGGCCTGGTGGGCAAGGGGTACAGGTTGGAGCTAAGGGGGTATGTTGCTGTGGGCGTCACGGATGATAACCTTGTCACTCCTCTCTCTTTGTGCGAGGGTTGTGGTGGGAGTCACACTGGGAAGGTGTGAGCTCACCTCTTCCCTAAGCGTGGTGTGTATGGAGAGGTGTGACCTCAGCTTTGTTCTGCCATCCTGAATGCTGTACTCTGTCCAGCTTGTGCCTGTGGCAAGAGCATGATTAAGTCTGGATGGTTGAGGAAGGCGGACAGGGGCAGGGGACGCGCCTGGTCCTCTTGCTTCAGTCCTGGCTGGTCCATCCATCTGGAATTCATTCAGGGAAACAGAATGGAAGAAACAACAGGACCTGCTGGAGGTGCTCATGGGGCTAAGAACCAAATCATGGGACGAGGAAACCATGGATGTTGTAGGCGCATAGCAATTGCTCGAGGTGGAGCGAGCTGGTGTGATCTGGGGACGTGAGCTTTCCTCTACATTCTGCAGAAGCTTGATGGCTTTAGGGGCATGGGGTGACCTTGGCTCATCAGCAGTGCTTGGGTGTACCTGTCCATGCAGGACTAAGCTCTCACCCAGCTCTGTTCAGGCTTCTCATCTTAATGAGTAGGAGCTGGCCCCATGGGGTACCCTCCTGGCTTGAATTAAAAACCTTTCTAAGACTGGAGGCAGGAGGTTCTGTTTTCTGTTGGCTGATAATCGTCATACTTCAGGCTTGTCCCAGGGAAATATTGGTGACTCCACGTGGACCTCCCGCTTGTCCTGTTTAGGCTTCCCTTGGAATTCTCTGGACGTTGTGTCATTCAGGCTAAGAAAGCAGCACCGCCTGATCAGAAGTGGCCTTGATACCTACTTTCTCATTGCTGTGTTTCTGGGCATCAGCTTGAGATGGTCAAGGGCAAATGTTGGCTGCAAATTGAGAAGACTGTGCCTGCTCTCCCATCCTGCTATGATACAGCCCGTTTCAGCAATCGTTTCCTTCTTTAAATTGTACATCTCTGTGGAACAGGCAGTGAGTCTGGGGTATGGAGAGTGAGAGGCAGGGGCAAGAGTGTGCGTGAGTTGGGGCGTGTGCGTGGAGTAGTTACATGGCTGGTATCTGGAAGAGGAAGTGTGTGTGGATGAAACACTGTGGCGCTCTGCACAGATGGTGCAGGCAAATCCCAGGCATAACATTACCTCTAAACAGGTAACCACATATACCAAGTGTCAAATTACCAAATAATTTAACCAGTGTCTCCATAGCTTTAAGAATTGTATTGCGTAGTCCCCTGCCTTTCTGCAAAGAATATATTAAACACGACTGAAGGGTTTCTTGCTGCCTTGGCCTTCTCGTTGTTTATCGCTTCTGTACCGAACTGGATTTCATGGATGCCCAGAGGAGATGCTGCGAGACATAGCTGTGTGGTCCTCAAACCACTCCTATGTCCGCTGCAGCCTTCTGGGGTTTTCCTCAAATGCACATCATTTGTTGTCGCTCATCATTTCCACTTGCTGGCAGGAATCCTTTCCTCCTCCCTTTGTCTGTGGCTTCTAGCTTTTAGGGAGCTAGGAAGGCATCTTCCCAAACTTGCTGAACTTGTGTCTCATAAGCCTCCAAATAAACCGAGGAGGGGCATGCATAAGCATTAGAGCGGGGCCCTGAGGATGTTCCCGTTGGTGGTGCAGATGACTTCATGCTTCACCATGATTCAATGAGCTCGGCTTGCTGGAAAAGTGAACTCTAAATCCCAAAGGCATCCCCGAGGTATAGGGGAACCATAAACAATTCATACAATGAATATATGCAGTGAAATAACTGTTGACCGGCTTTGCCTGGCCTGATGGGTGAACGAGTGTGATTCAGAGTTAAATAAGTAAGCAGGGCAATTTGGCGTGCGTTAGCTCTTTACTCTAGCGAGCCCAATCTCAGTGCAACGGGGAAGTAACTTTCTCCCATGAGATCCACGAGTCCACGCACTGAATTTCCCACCAGGTGCCAGAGGGATTTTTTTTTTCTCTCTCTCTTTTTTTTTTTTTTTCTGTTGTCTGAGCTGCTTGGAATGTGGTGTCAGTGACATAAACATTGAGAGTTCAGGGCACATAACAGAACAGAGAGTTATGTTCTCTTGGGGAAGAAAAAAAAAGACGTTTCCTGGCCATGGCTGCATCGTAAACCCAACACCGTCTGTTAGTCCAAGGGTGGACTGAGGGCGATGAGGGCTGGCTCTCTGTCACCTGTGGGAGCCTGTCCCCTGATGGGGAGGTCAGAGTGCAGCGTGTCTCCGTGAGAATGGGCTGAGGACAACCCCAGGAGCCTGTGCCCAGAGACAGCCTTCATGGGACAGAGCCTGGCCTTGAAGTGTCCCCAGACAGAGGTCAGCCAGGCCAGCGACGCCAGGCAACACGTGACCAGGAGTCCTTATAAACTGCCGGCTAGCATTTCCCATCTTTTGTTTTGGGGTGTTTCTATAAGAACAGTCCTGTTGCAGCCCCCTGAGACATTACATTTAATTTCCAGAGCAGTGGTGGGACTGGTGAAGCATAAACATTTGAGCGGTAGGAGCAGGGGTCATGTGTGGGGGAATGCGCCAGCGGCTCTCCTGGGGAAAACCCAGCCATTGGAACCGCCAGACTCTATGCTCCACGAGCTCAGAGTGGCAGCCTTTTTAATAGTTTTGCTGGAGCCCGGCGACTGTTCTTGCAAACTCAGCAGAGCCCGCCCAGGGGGATAAGCCGGAGTTGGGAAGGGAAGGCTGGCCCGCCGCGCCTGTTGTTTGAAATAATAAAAAGCAAAACTGGCCAGTTTATTATTTTTTTTTCTAAACAATAGAATTTCCCACCGCCCTTGCTCACTAAGCGTCAGTCCCCTTTCCTTGTAATAACCCTGTCTAGTTTTGCCCAGAGGTTATCAGGACCACATTCACCTCTTGGGCAGAGGCCCAGCCATGAAAAGCTCTGGGGGTGATGGAGGGTTTTGCAGGAAGTTTCGTGAGCCACTGAAGCAGGCGGCGAGGATAATGGAAATCAGACGGTAGCCGTAATTACAGGGTCGGATTCTTTCTCTGAGCCCTGTAATAATCTCCTGTGTGTATCAAGAGCCATGCAGCGTTCTTTGCAATGTGACAAGGGACTCGAGATGGGGAGGGTGGGTAGAAGGGGACTTTGGCGGGTTGCTGAGAGTAAGGGAGTTCGCTGCGGGTTCCTGGGGTCCAAGAGCTAGACTGTAGCTATCCGTGGGCTGCCCTCCAAATTACTGACTTTTTGTGGTGTTTGAAAGGTGTGGGTCCCCGTCATTTGCAACCTTGCCTCGGATGGCCATAATTTCACTCTGTTAGTGCACACATCCCATGAGGCAGAGCCAAGGAGGTGAGGAGGGTGCTAATTTGGGTGCTTTCTGGTGTGTGTGTGTGTGTGTGTGTGTGTGTGTGTGTGTGTGTGTTACTGCTGGTATTGGCGGCGTTTTCCAGGACACACATTAAGGGTATGTGCTATAGAAATACAGCACATGAATGCTACAGCTCAGGAGGTGCCTAGGAACTTAGAAGCAGCCCACAGACTGCAATGACAGGTAGAAAGCTCAAGGCAAACACCACCCTGATTTGCTTTAGGGTGTCTGTATAAATCTGAAAACCTTTGACCCAAGTTGGGGTAACGAGGTCAGTGTCGCCCCAGGAGGACAAGCTCTTGTCTGCTTACACAGTTCAGCTGGAACCCGTCCGTCTCTGCCTCTCACTTTCCCACCACTAAGCGATCGTATTTTATGGCTGCTGTATAGCCGTGAATGACTGCCTGACATTAGTGGGAGCGACCAATGTTCATTGTGAACCAAAACATCATAAACTCCCACTTGAGGTGTGATTGCTCCTTTCGCTTTCTGATTGCATCTTTCCTGGGTGGTTTGCAAGGTAAACTGTTCACACTCATGGGGCGGAGCACTTTGTTGGTGAAGCAGAGGTCTGGCTGGCCCTGCTATGTGCTTCTAGGAGGATATGCACCGTGTGTGTGTGTGTGTGTGTGTGTGTGTGTGT